CACTCAGGATGGTTTCTTCTAGTGTTATCCATTTGCCTGCGAATCTCATGATTCCATTGTTTTTTTTCTGCTGAATAGTACTCCATTTTGTAAATGTACCACATTTTCTCTATCCACTCTTCAGTTGAGGGACATCTAGGTTGCTTCCAAGTTCTGGCTATTACAAATAAAGCTGCTATGAACATAGTGGAACAGACATCTTTGCTGTATGAATGGGCATCTTTTGGATATATGCCTAAGAGTGCAGTTGCTGGGTCTTGTGGTAGGTTTATTCCAATTTTTCTGAGGAATCTCCATACTGATTTCCAAAGTGGCTGAACCAGTTGGCACTCCCACCAGCAATGGAGGAGTGTCCCCCTTTCACCACATCCTCTCCAGCATAAATTGTCATTGGTGTTTTTAATTTTAGCCATTCTGACAGGAGTGAGATGGTATCTCAGAGTTGTTTTGATTTGCATTTCCCGGATGGCTAAGGATGTTGAGTACTTTCTCAAGTGCCTCTCAGCCATTTTAGACTCCTCTCTTGAAGACTCTCTATTTAATTCTGCAGCCCACTTTTTAATTGGGTCCTTTGATGTTTTGGAGACTTGCTTCTTGAGTTCTTTGTAAATTTTGGAGATCAACCCTCTGTCAGATGTGGGATTAGTGAATATTTTTTCCCATTCTGTGGGCTGCCTTTTTGTCTTGCTGACTGTGTCCTTTGCCTTACAGAAGCTTCTCAGTTTCAGTAGGTCCCATTTATGAATTGTTGATCTCACTGTCTGTGCTACTGGTGTTATGTTCAGGAAGCTGTCTCCTGTACCAATTCGTTCAAGGGTATCACCCTCTTTCTCTTCTAAGAGGTTCAGTGTGGGTGGATTTATGTTGAGGCCTTTGATCCATTTGGACTTAAGCTTTGTGCATGGTGATAAACATGGATCGATCCGCATTCTTCTATATGCCAGCCTCCAGTTATGCCAGCACCATTTGTTGAAGATGCTTTCTTTATTCCATTGTATATTTTTAGCTTCTTTGTCAAATATCAGATGTTCATACATGTGTGGGTTAATACCCGGGTTTTCAATTCGATTCCATTGGTCTACCTGTCTATTTTTGTGCCAATACCAAGCTGTTTTCAGGACTATAGTTCTATAATAGAGCTTGAGGTCAGGGATGGTGATGCCTCCGGACGTTGCCTTGTTGAACAGGGTTGTTTTGGCTATCCTGGGTCTTTTGTTTTTCCATACAAAATTGATTATTATTCTTTCAAGGTCTGTGAAGAATTGTGCTGGGATTTTAATGGGGATTGCATTGAATCTGTAGATTGCTTTTGGAAGGATTGCCATTTTTACTACATTGATCCTACCTATCCAAGAGCATGGGAGATCTTTCCATTTTCTGAGAGCTTCTTTAATTTCTTTCTTTAAAGATTCAATGTTCTTACGATACAGGTGTTTCACTTGGTTGGTTAGGGTTACCCCAAGGTATTTTATGTTGTTTGTGTCAATTGTTCTTATTGTATATATTTTTACTAAGTTACGTTTTCTTTTATTTAGACAAAAAGGGGGAACTACTGGTGAATATCCAATCATACTGTGAACCACACAGTTCACTTTTACGTTGATTATATAAAATTAACCTTTGGTCAGAAGGTTGAGTTAGCAATTATTTGGAGAATGTAATCACAGGATATTAGAGGTCAACCTGGAGAGGTAGAGAGAGACACACAGGAAATAGTTGGGAGGGATTTAGAGTGACTCTGTTTTTTTCTGATTTGATAGAGCAGAAGCTTAATCTTTCAGAGAAGCCAGCAAAGAGCTAGCAGGTTTCACCCCAGTCTTTGAATCTTAAGTCTTATTTGTAAATAGAACAATAGAGATTTAGTTTAAGCTACCTTTAGCAGCAGCAAAAGAGCTGGCATCTGCAGGAATAGAATTCCAGACAGGCTAAGGCCTAAGCAACCAGGCTGATGCTAATGAAACAGGCCAGCAACTGTGGAGTTGCATTTGCTGGCTAAAATAATAGATTGGGAAATAGCTCCTGTGCCAAAATTAAAACAATACCACTGTCTTTACAAACTGAAACAAATGAAAATTTCAGTGTCTTTATAATATCCAGTCTCTCTAAAAATCCAAAATCTCCTTTGAAACTTCAAAGTCATTCAGCTGTTGACTCCTTTAATAATCAAAACATAATGCCTTCTTCAACAAGGAAGTACTAGGGTACAGTAACATCCTGAACCGAATAAAACTAAACTCCAACACTGTAAATAACTCAATGTCCAATTATCTAGGATTTGCTCACCATCTTCTGGGCTGCTCCAAAGAGCTTGAGTCACTTCTCTCGCTCTTCCCTCAGCAACAACACAACTTGTATTCTTGCCTCCAGCTGGCTCCATTCCACTGATGCTGCTGTTTCAGCAGTCATCCCATGACACTAGGCTCCGCAAAACACTGGAGTCTTGGGCTTCACTTTCACCAAGAGCTTGTCATAGGCTCACTTCTTGGTGCCAAGCTTCAATATCTTTTAATGACCCCTTCAGTACTGGGCCTTCAACTGCCACTAAGGTTGCACTTTAACCAATGGCCCCTCCTGGCCTAACATAATGCCAAACCTTGGGTACTCTCCATGACTCTTTCATTCCTTCAATACCAATACACCCCCTGGATGCTTCTTAAACTACCTGTTCAGATGCCAGAGTAACTTGCAACCTTGGTCTCCTCTGGAACACAGTTTCGTGTGATGACTCTCAGGAAACACTTTCCAGAAGATTTCACCTCAGTGATGCGTGGACCTTCTGGATCACCACTAACTTCTCAGGTCCAGCTAACCAAAATCCGTGATCCCAGCATAGCAAAGGTCTCACTTTAGTACTGAAGAATAACAGCTGATTCTTCAGCCCTAGCTAACGAAAACAACGGAATTTTGAATCCTACTAGGAAACAGTCCTGATAGTCTTTAATCTTCCTTCTGAAAGGGAGTTCACAAGTCTATTCCCTGCCCCCTGCACTGTTCTCAATATTCTTATCATCCAAACTCCTATGTAGCATCACACAGAGTTCTCCATACTCTATACTTTGGGCTTTTCTTGCCCAAAATTCCAAGGTACTTCCACATTTCTCCACAAAACATGGTTAGGTCTATCACAACAATACCCCACTTCAATGGCACCAAGTAGCTAATGTTTCTATTTCTGTAATAAAACACTGTGACCAAAAACATGTTGGGGAGGAAAGAATTTATTTAGCTTACACTTTCTTATCATTATTCATCATCAAAGAAAGAAAGGACAAGCACTCAGACATTGTAGGAACCTAGAAGCAGGTGATTATGCAGAGGCCACAGAGGAGTGCTGCTAACTGGCTTACTTCCTTTGGCTGGCTCAACCTGCATTCTTCTATAACTGAAGACCAAAAGCCCAGGGATGATACAATCAACCACGGACTGCACACCCCACTCCTCTCATTGATCACTAATGAGAAAATAAAATGAAAATTGTGGAGGCATTTTGTCAGTTGAGATTTTTTTTCAGATAACACTACTTTGTGGCAGTTTGACATAAGGTTATATGTTTTTGTTTTAAACTATGGCTGTGCAACATATCTTAATATCTGTAATTTTTAGTAATAATTTATTATTTTATTATTTTATTAGGATTATTTTGGCTATATAGGTTATTTTGTGATTTCATATTAATTTTAAGATAGTTTCCTGTGAGGTGGGATGGGATTCAGATTTAGTTTGCAATGAATCTGCAATAGTTTTTGGTAAAACGATCATTTTTACAATATTAACTCTATGAATCCACAAGCTTGGGATGCCTTTCTGTTTATAATGTCTTTTTCATTCTCGTTCTTTAGAAGTTTAATATTTTTATTGTAGAGATTTTTTGCTTCTTTTGTTAGGTTTATTCCTAGATATTTTATTTTCCTTGAGGCTATTGTGAATGGGAGTATGGCCATGGATTCTTTCCATGTTTTCTTGTTGGTAGTGTATAGAAATGTTATTCCTTAGTGCAAGTTGTTTATCTAACCTGCTACATTGCTGAATTAATGATTTCAAGAATTTTCTGGCAGAATTTTTAAATTCTTTAATGTATAATATTATGCTATTTGCAATATGATTAGCTTGACTTCACTGTTTCCCTATTTGTATCCTTTTAATTTCCATTCATGACTTATTGTTCCAGCTAGTATTTCAAACAACATATCAAAAAAGAAGCAGAGATAGTGAATATCACTACCTTGTTCCTGACTTCAGTGAGATTGCTTCAACTTTTTTGAGGTTTAGAATGACGTTTACTGTGCATTTCTCATACATAGACTTTATTATGCTGAGATATGTTCTCTCTATTCCTATATTCTCAAAGATGTTTATAATGAAAGCACATTGGATTTTATCAGATTCTTTCTCTATCTTTTAAGACACTTAATTATTTTTTCATGTCAATTCATATGTTTTGTTGTATTTATCAACTTGAGTATGTTGAACCATTCCTGCATTTGAAGGAGAAAACCAACTTGATCCTGGTGAATAATCTTATTAACGTATCTCTGTATTGGGGTTACTAATGGGGGAATGTCTTCTGCATATATTTCTCTTGATGAATAATTCACAGATCAACTGTTTGGCCAGGCAGGAAGTATAGGTAGGGCAAGGAGATGAGGAGGATTCTGGGAAACATAGGCAGACAGAGTTGCCATGTAGGCCACCAAAGGATTAAGAGGCCCAAACCCTCCTCCAGTAAGATAAGACCATGTGGAAATATTTGGTTCATAACAATGGGTTAATAATTAAGACAGATCTAGCCAATAAGAAGCCCTAGCCACCACCTAACAGTTTTATAATTAATATATGTCCTGTGTGTTTATTTGGGGCTCAAGTGCAGTGGAACCAGGCAGGACAAGAAAACTTTCATCAACATGTTTACAGGTATCATAGTGAGCAGTTTTTAATGTATATTTGCAAGGAATATTGGTCCATAACCAAAACCAAGTAAAGACAGAAAAAAAAAAGAAAATTAAAGTATGGGATATTTCAAGAATGTGTGTGTCATCCTTGCACAGGGGTCATGCTAACCCTCTTTGTGCCATTCCCATTGTAGATATATGCCATTGAATGAACTTTACATGTATTTTAAGTTTAAGAAACATTGTAAAGCCGAGTGTTGGTGGAGCATGCCTTTAATCCCAGTACTTGGGAGGCAGAGGCAGGTGGATCTCTCAAGGCCAGCTTGGTCTATGAAGCGAGTTCCAGGACAGCCTCCAAAACAATACAGAGAAACCCTGTCTTAAAAAAACCAAAAAAAAAAAAGAAACATTGTAATATGTACGACTGTGCATACACTTAGGTATGTGACTATATACATGTATTTACAATATTTATAAATACTTATCAGCTTATCTATTGATAGACACTCAATGCTGTTTGTATCTCTGAGCTTTGGTGATGTGTTTTCAAAGTACATGGGTGTGCAAATAGCTCTTTCATATCCTGCTTCAATGATTCAAAACTTGCTCAGAAATATAATTGCTTGAATAACTGACAATTTTCTTTTTAATAATTTGATAAGCCACTGTGTTTCCCATAGCAACTGTACTATTATACATTTTTTTTACAAAGAGCACTTAGATATTCCAATTTCCCCATTCTCACCAACATATATTAATGAACTGTTTGGTTAGTGCCTATCTTGACAAATATGAAAAGACATTCTGTTTCTTAAGAATTAAGGAATATATATTTTTTCATCATATTCTTAGCATGGGCTTAAGCTTTTAGAAAGTGTTTAACAAAATAAAAAATCAATCACTAAGAAATAATTAATGAAGGAAATATTTTTACAGAAGTATGAAAATAAAAGATAAAACTTATAAACTTCAAAAATATTCCTTTTCAATTGCCGTATTTCCCATTCTATCTAGGACCACTAGTTCACAATGCGTATGACTTAGGAACAATTCAGGAATTCCTTCTTCATTATTCATCTCTTGTGGATATTTTCATGCTTCTCTATCTGATCCATAAATGCATGAGTTCTTAATTTAATCTGATGTCATTTGCTAAACTGATTCAGAACATTCTTGCTGTCTCACTCAGCGAGGTCAAAAGTCACTGAGAATAAAGGCCTGAGGATGAGTAGTTATTTATGGTCCACACATAATGACCATGCTGTTGTCAATATTAAATTTATAAATACTATATTCTCTCAGTCATCTATGTATTATTTAATGGAATCTCTGGGTCATTTCAAGCACATGTCTTTTGCTCTAGCAAAGCTGAGACTCACTAGGTATACAACAGAGCAAATTGCTCAGGGAGGGTTAATTTTTTATGCATGCTTTATGCATAAGTAAATTGGAACATGGAGATTAGATCACACTCCAGCTGTTTCTTTGTAAACTGGGTTGTATCTTTTGTGCAATTCCAAGACAATAATAACCTTCCATCTCCAGGGGTTAGACATGAACACAGCCCCCAAAAAAGATATTAAACTAAAACACATATGCAAATTGCTGTAGTGATTTCCTCAGGCAATGGTCCCCACAAATGCCTCCCATTACAGGTGCCATGAAATGGTCTCTGGGCTGTGTATAGAGTTCATTTATAAAAGAACAATTCAACATTATTACGCAAATCACCCATGGCTTTTTAGCCTGCTTCTGGATCAGGTATTACTATTTTATTCAGTAAGTGAGTTAAGCCTTTTCTACTCATAACCAGGTTATACTGAATGGAACACAAATGGTTTTCTCTTGAACCATTTTCATTCAAATCAGTATAAAATTTGTCTTTTGTGTGTTTTCTCTAGAAGGAATACTACAGAAAGTGATAGACATAGAAAAAGACCAATCTTTATATAAGAGTCTTAAAAAGAAGAGAGATGCATATAGGCATAGAAAGACATATATTAGATATTGATTGATGGATTAATGAATAATGGGTATTGCTTACCAATCTGCATTGATGATTTAAAGTATGCTAAGTAAATGTGGGCATTTTACTTTGAATGTGAATGTGTCACATAAGCTCATATATTTAAACACTTGTTCACTAGGTAGCTGTACTGTATGGAAAAATTAGAACCATTAGTAGGTGGAGCCTCACAGTAAGAAATAAATTATTAGAAGTGGGTCTTGAGGTCTTACAGCCTGTATTCACTTTCTGTATGCTTTCTGATTCTTCTTTCAAGACATGAGGGAGCCCAGTTGCTCACTCTTGCTACCATGGAGTCACATCCAACCATGGCTTTCCCATCAGGAGAACCTGAAATTGTAAATAAAAAGAAACTCCTCCCCTTCATTTGCTTCCTGTTAATCACAGCAACAATAAAAAGGTGAGTAATGCACATGATATGCAGGTTAATTGATTACATTTGTTAGATCTAGATCTAGTGAGAAGACAGGGTATTCCAAATACAGGCATCCTATATATAATCATTATTTTTCAATTGTGGTTTGAGTCAGAAATGTCCCTCACAGTCTCATATCTTTAACACATGATACCCAGCTGCTAATGCTGCTGCTGTTTGGGAAGATTGTGTAATTCATAGGAAGTGGAGCCTTGATGTGGGGAGTACATCACTGAGGGCAGGTTTGAGTTTCTATGGCCTGGCCTCACTCTCAGATGTTTGTCTGTGAATCCTGCATGCAGATAGAATGTGGCAGTTTCTTTCAACTCCTGCTGCCATATGCATCTTTTGCCATGCTTTCTCCAACATGGTGGAGTACATCACCTCTGGAACTATGAGATTAAATAAAATCATTATTCCTTGATTTTGTTACGGCATTCTATTATAGCAACAGAAAAATAATTAATACACCATTCAAGGGACACTGTATATAATGCCTGGCTTCTCCTAGTACCTCAGTTCTTCATCTGACTCAATGCCACACCCAAATATTGTACTTCTCAAAATGTCAAGTTTTATCCATGAGATGTAGAGAGGGGATTATTGAATGTTTAAATGTGATTCAAAATCTTCAGATTTGCCTTCTTAGTGAAGCCAAAAGAGTTGTGAATAAGTCAAAAATGAGTACTGTGCTATGCCTCATGGGTATATGAGAATCAAGATGTTTCATATGCAATCAGCATCCAATAAAGTGACTATACTACATCAATAATGCAGAACCTGTACATAATTTAAGGTATTCCTTAGGAAGCAGATGATTACACCCAATAGAGAGTTAAAACAGCCACTTCAATATGCTTCTTCATTTTCCTTGGCAGTTATGGTGAACCCACATCTGCTTGCCATTTTTCTCTTACAATCTGAAAGGTTTTCCATGTTTCCTACTTAGAACTTATAAGACCAGCACCTCTAGCAAGGATTGTCTATAAACATTTAAAGTGAGTCACCACTTTACATTCAGAAGCAGAGATTTCCTTTCTATAATTGTTACTCACTCTACCACCTTCATGACTCAATATGGGTCATTCTTTCATTATCAGTGAATACCTCTAATATGATTTTCTATGGAATTTTCATTGTATCACTGAGTATACATCAAAACTGATGTATTGATATTTTCAAATGTCTTGGTGATTTGTATGAGGAAAGTTTGCAAAACTCTAACTATCTGGTGCTTTTAAGTTAGACTAAAATAAGTGAAATATTGAATTATGCATATTTGTGAGAAATCTTCAAACACATTATTTATTCATCTGTGACTATTGTAGTGGGGAAAATTTGCAACAACAAAATAGTCATTGTTTTCAAAAGGTTTGTTTATTTGCCTGGAAAACCAAAATACTGAGCCACTTAGATAAATGAAGCACAAATAATGTTAGCAATAAACTACAAAGCACTGCTATGGAGATTTTTAAAAAGAGAATTATAAAATAAATTCTAAAATATAGAAATATATTTTATGTGGAATTTTTCACAATTAATTTTATTTTCAGCAGACCAATCACATTTTTCTCACTCCTCCCAGCCCCTTCTCCTTTCCACATCCACTCATCCTTTCTCTTCAGAAAAGGACAGGCCTCTTATTTATATCAGCCACCATGGCATATAAAATAGCCATAAGACTAGCACCTCCTCTCCTAATAATCTGGATGAGGCAACCCAGTAACAGAAAAGGGTCCCAAAAGCAGGTAACAAAGTCAGAGACAGCCCCTGCTCCCACTCTTAGGAGTCTCACAAGAAGACCAAGTTGCACAACTGTAACATATGTCTAGATTCATCCCATGAAAGCTCTCTTCTGGTTGACATTTGAATACCTGTGTGTCCCATGAGTCCAAGGTAGTTGATTCTGTGAGTTTTCTTGTAGTGTCATTGGGCCCTCTGGCTCTCACAATCCTACCCCCCCTTTCAGAGGATCCCTTTAGGTATGCCTAATATTTGTCTGTGGGTCTATGCATCTATTTCCATCAGATTTTGGATGAACAGTATCTGATGACAATTGGGCTAGGCAATGATCTATGAGCACGTCGGAATGTCATTAGGAAACATTTCAATGACTTTTTTCCAGTAATGTTTGATTCTATTCTAGTTCTCTGGGCTGTCCAACCTCTGGGTCCTGTAAGTCTAAAGCAGTTTCAGGGGTATGCTTACTCCCATGGTATGGGTCTCAATATGGGTTAGTCATTGGTTGGCCACTCCCAAAATTTCCACTCTATCTTTACCCCGGAACATCTTGTGGGCAGGGCAAGTTATAGGTCAAAAGTTTGTGGTTGTGTTGGTGTCCCAATCCCGCCAGAGAAAGACTTGTCTGACAGCAGAGATGGCAGGTTCAGGCTTCTTATCCACCATTGCTGGGAATCTTGCCTAGGGGTCACATGAACCTCACAGATTTCTGGCAGTTTCCACAGTGTACCCACTTCCCCAGGCTCCATATCTGGCTCACAATTTGTGCAAAAGATTTCTACTTTACCAGAGGTCAGACACTGTTCAATACCTGTCAAACATTCCTTAAGAGCACCCCTCCTGAGTTCCATAACCCCACATACAACTCTGACTGCTTTACTGAATACCAGACTTGTCCTAGGAACCCTAGGTAAATCATCACACAGTGGTTGCTAACACTCTTTAAAGCCATACAAACATGTTTCCCCTCACTGGGGCTCCATATTTTGTCCTCCAATTTCAGCAGAAGATTTTTGCTTTACCTGACACCAGG